TGGGATATGTAGAATTTTTTTAATGGTATAAACAATTCGATTAAATAAAATAAAATATCATAAAAATCTTTAACTACGTCATTAATGATTTTGTTAAGAAATAATAAATTCCAGTCAACTTCTGCTAAATAATAATTTAAAGCAACATAATCACCATTTTTAAAGTCAAAATAGTATTCTTCATAATTAAGGACAGATTCTTTTATATCAACAATTACGTCAAAATTGACTGGTGTATGATGAAATCCCTCCTCAAATAACGGATCCAGAGGTACAGAAACAGATATATCAGGAAAGCTAGAAAAAATTAAATCAAGAAAAACATTTCTCCGGTTGGATATCGTATTGACCTGGTATAAGTCACAAATATTAATGATATTACATATATCGTTAGCTGGTGAGTTTTGGTTAGAAACATTACTGGCAATAAAAGGAACAGGTATTTTGTTAATAAAATAAGTAATAATATTCAACCTTAACATTTAAAAAACTAATGTGAGTTAAATTAACATTTACTATTTTTGAAAACAATTGGGGCATGTGAATTTATCCTTATCATGTTTAGTAAGACCCACACACTCTTCATGTACGTATTGGCCACATGTAAGACATAATCTCATATCAGCCTGGCGGTCTTCATTATATACATGACAGAACCATGATTCACTACTTTTTAAATTCTTGTTTATTTTCTTTTCTTTATTTTCTTTGTTCAGATTGTCTTGTTCTTTTTACTGTTTGTTTATTTTCTTTTCTTCCTGTTCTTTGTTTTTGTCTTTTAATTTTTCTTGTTGTTTGGAAGATTCTTTGGTACTTTTACCTTTGTGTGGTTTTTCTATCGATGTGGAAAATAAATCCTTCGAAACTTCTTGAGCTTTGCTATTGATTGCTGGTTTTTGCTTTGTAGCTGTTATCTTGATTAGGGGCGAAATTAGTAAGCCTTTAAAAGAAGTGTATGGTTCTGGAACTTTTTCGAGAGTAAATAGTACCATATTTTCATCTTCGCTCTTTATATCATCCGATGTACTATCATGAACACTGAAATCTGATTCAGAATGAGACGACTCGCTATATAAACGAAGACATTTTGTTTTTTTATTACTTATTCCACTTGTGCAGGGACCGTTTTCATCAACTGTAGTAGTTGATGGCTTATTTACGTTGTTATCGTCGACGTCTAGTGGTTCTAACACATTTTCTTCAATATTCGTTATAAGACGTTATAATTCGTTATTCAGGTATGATGTCTAGGTTAAAAGGAAATATTCCAGCTGCTTTGAACCCAGAGATCATGTTAGCTGGTGTCGTCGCTTTTAACCAAACTTTACTAAATATTTCACCAAATCGCATTTTGGTTACATTTTTAACAGGTGGAGTTATCAAAAAATTTAAAACCTTCTGATCCCAAAAAGACAGAATTCATTAAACTTTAAACACTTCAATGGGCCGGTCATGTAGTGATAATGGAGACGGAAAGATTGTCAAAAACAGCCCTAGATAGTAAAATGCAGGGTGCAAGACCAAAAGGAAGGTCACTGAAAAGGTGTGATGATGAAGTGACAGCAGACGGGCAAAATTTGCTAGACGTGAGAACCTGAAAAAGATAGACACTGAACCAGCAAGGTTGGAGGCATAGTTTGGAGGAGGTTTGGAGTTTGGAGGAGGATAAATCGAGCCTTACTCTGGAGAGTAAGGCTCGATTTGGGCTGTAGCACCATTGGAGAGAGAAAATAGAGGAAAATTATTCCTAGAGGTACATTCCTTGCATACAGTAAGCGGATAACGTCTTTTATTTTGACCCGATCAAATGCTTTCTTCAAGTCCACAAAACATAGATATGCCGGATTGTTGAATTCTAATGATTTCTCTTGCACTTACCTCATTATAAATATATCGTCGGTGCATCTTTGTGACCTAAAACCTTGTTGTTCTTCTGCTAGTGTTATAATTTCATTCAGTTTATTTGTTATCACTTTGGTTGTTAATTTTAGTGTTGTGTTTAACAAATTAATTCCTCTGCAACTTTCTGGTTTCGATTTGTCTCCCTTTTTGAAGAGAGGTATTAGGATGCTTGATCTCCATTCTTAAGAAATGTTCTATAAAAATTCTATGTTTTCTTGTATTATTTTTTGGATTAGTTTTAATAGCTGTTTAGTCAGAACTGGTCCTCTGTACTTTAGGAGTTCGTTGGGTGTTCTGTTCTCTCCTGGTGACTTTCTATTTTTTATTTTCCTTAACGCTTCCTTTAATTCTTCGTCCTCAATATTTATTTCTTCGTTTGTTCTCACCTCTGATGTTGGTGGTTCATTATCGTCACCGTTAGCAAATAGGGATCGAAAGTAGTCTGTCTGCCCATGTTTCCTTCTGAATTGTTTCGTTTTTATCAGTTCGTTTATTTATTTTCTTTGTGATTGTGTTAATTCTGTTATTCTGTTATTTTTGAGTTTTTTCCAGCTTTCCTCGATGTTATTGTTTTCTAATATTTCATTTTCAGCGATCTTCTCTGGTATTCTTTTTCTGTATAAGTATTTCGTAAATTCCGTAATTCGAGTTTCATTTTTGTTTGTGTCGGCGCTGCTCTCTTGGGTGTGAAATATTTCAGTATGATTCTTATTTTACATAGTACTACGGTCGTTACCTACATCTGCTGACTTAACCATCTTACGTCACTTATTTTTGAGAGATGTATATGTATATCTGTGTTGGTTATAACATAATCATTATTATTATATATATATATATATATATATATATATATATATATATATATATATATATATATAGCCATTATATATATATATATATATATATATATATATATATATATATATATATATATAATGGCTATACACCCCAGCGTGGGATTAAACCGCAAATGCTTTCTAGATCCTATTTCTTAAGTGGATCAGTCTTTTTTTTTTATCTTATCTTCTTGACAATATCTCTCCATTTTTTCCTGTCTCTAGTTTTTCCTCTCCATTCACTGACTCCTGCCATTTGGAGGTCTTCTTCAACTTCTTGCAGCCACTTTGATCTCGGTCTTCCCCTTCTCTTTCTTCCTCCTGGATTCCATTCTATCATTGCGTATGTCACTGCCTCATCGCCTGCTCGCCAAATGTGACCTAACCATCTAACTTTGCATTGCTTTATTTTAGTTACGATGTCTTCCTTAAGTTCTTCCTTAATTTCTGCATTTGTTCTGCTTCTATATTCATTTTGCCCTGTTCTGATTGGTCCTGGTTCTCATAAGTCTTCTTCATCTTTTTTAACCATCGTCATTGTTTTCCCTGCATATAATAATATTGGTCTAATTATGGTGTTATAAATGCTCATCTTGCTTTTTTTAGTCAGTGTTTTGCTTTTAAGTAATCTTTTGTTTGCAAAACAAGCTTTATTGGCTGCTAATATTTTTTCTTTTATTTCGGAATTCCTTTCTCCGGATTTACTTATTGTAACTCCTAGGTATTTGAAGTATTCTACTTCTTCAAACTCGGAACTTCCTATTTTGATTTTTTCCTTTATTGGTTTTTTCCCTAATCTTAATATTTTTGTCTTTTCTTGATTTAATCTTAGCCCCATTACCTCCCCTTTCTCTCTTATTTCTTCAAGCATTTCTTTCATTATTTTTCTGTTCTTTGCAATAATAGCAATATCATCTGCATATGCAATTATTTGACCATCTCTTGTTCTGAGATTTCCTTTATTTATATTTCGCAGTACATATTCTAATGCTAGATTAAATAGCGTTGTTGATAAGGCATCTCCTTGTTTCATCCCTTTATTTATACTGAATTCCTCTGTCTCTCCTCTTTGTGTCTTTATGCTTATTTTTGTAGTTCTCATTGTCATTTCTATTAATTTTCTGAGTTTATGTGGACTTTTTAATTTTTAAGTGCTGTCATTAATACGTTCCTTTTAATAGAATCAAATGCCTGTTTGAAGTCTATGAATAACATTTCCAATTCTAATTTATACTCGTTTGCTTTTTCCATTATTTGTTTTATTGTGTGTATTGCATCTATTGTAGATCTTCCTTCTTTGAATCCACATTGGTACTGTCCTACTGTCTTCTTTGTGATCTTTGATAACCTCTTTTTTATTATTGATGTTAATATTTTATATGTTGTATTTAGTAATGTTATTCCTCTATAATTTTCACAGATTTGTTGGCCTCCCTTTTTATGTACTGTTATGATCTGTCCTACCTCCCAGTCACCTGGCATTTTCTCTTCTTTCCATATATTTTTCAATAGTGCCAGTATTTTTCCTCTTAGTTCCCTTCCCCCGTATTTTATTAGTTCCATATTAATTCCATCTTTACCTGGGGCTTTTCCATTTTTTGCTTCTCTGTATAACTTCATCCAATTCCTCTTATGTTGGTTCTTTTGAAATTTCGATGTCTACTTCATTTGCTTCTTCTTCGTGTACTGTTTCCTCCTCGTCATGCATTTCTTCTTCTGTTGTTTCCTCCATCAAGAGCTCTCTGTAGTAATCTCTCCATACTTGCTTGTATTCTTGGTCCTCTATTATCACTATTCCCTCTCTATTTTTTATTCCGTTTGTTTTGCCCTTGTATTTTTTGTTTTGTTCTTTAATCTTTTTGTAAAAACTTTTCGTATTTCTGTTTGTTCTTTCCTGCCCTATTTCCTGCATTTTTTGTCTATCCATCTTCTTTTATTTTGCCTTATCACTTTCTTATCATTATTATTAACATTAATAATGATAACACAAGTTTATATATTCATACTTTTGCAATGCATATAAATAACATTTGAATTTCCGGCTTTGAAACGGGCGTTAACAAGAGAATTAGATATGTTACTACCGGTTTCCAAATCCTTTGGAACAGCTGTTATAACGATGAAATTTTCCACAGCGCACTTTCTTCATGTTTGAATTATTCCGTAATATTCTAGGGATTGCATAGGGTCTCTTACAATGGAGACGTATATATAAGAGTATCATAACAATGGTAAAGTAGAATTGAAAAAAAAACAACATAAAGCATAAGTATATTTTATTTTTTATTGGCACTGATATTTTAATGTTACACAATCTTCATCATAAGTAGCTTAAAGCTGCCTTAAAATTAAAAACTATTTACAATAATTTAAATTCTGATTATGAATCAATATTTTTATTTTTTACTAAAAAATTAAAAGAATTGTCTTCAAACTTTGTTACATATCACAGGTCTATACTTATTCTTAAATAAGTAGTTGCACCATTCTTTTATTTGCTGTAGTTAACTGCTCCTTTCAATAATATTTTCGTTTGAAGGACTTTCGTCATCGTCATTTTCATTATATCTAGAACCTCTTTAAATATAATTTAGTTAAAATAATACGTAATTTTGAAGCAAAAAACTGAAATTTAACAAATATATTTTAAAAACAATTTTGATTTTATTACTTGAGTAATTCTTGTTTGCTTACAAAATCTACAAAAATTGATCCAGAAAGTATGTATTAGATACCATTGTGTAACACAAACACAATGGTTAATACGACTTTTAAGTTCTCTTTGAATAAAGTCATACATACCTTTATACATGGTGAATGGGCAAACAAGAAATACTACTTAAAAACAAGTTATCGAAGATCATGACTATAGGGTTTAATAATCTTCACGGAAGGAAGAAGATGCTAGAAAATATTTCCATATTTTAATCATAAAGTGGATTCACTAATTGTTTATGTAGAAAAACGTATATTCTGAAAGTAACCAACTGTCCTGAGGACGAAAAAAAAAAATAAATGCAAAGTAATAATAAGGAAACCATAAGAATACAAATGAATGAATTGGAGTATACCTAAGTGAGTTACCATCACCACAGATGGTGTCTGCTTCGGGTAGCATGTGCCTACAGGATTGTGTCAGCTGCCACTCTATGGGTGGTCAACGGATATATTCCCTTACACGTGCTGGCAAGTGATTGGGCCAGGATTCATAGTCGTAGGGAATTTGACATTGGAGACGAAGAGATGAGTGAGATAAGGCTGGCCGAGAGATTAGTTTCAATCGACCAACGGCAGGAAGTCAGTGAGGCAATACGTGATGTGGCGAAGTGAAAGAAGTTACTAATCCCGAATCTTGGGTGAATTTTAGACATAGGCAGCTAGATTATTACTTGACCCAAATGCTCACAGGCCATGGCTGCTACCTTTTCAGGTTTAGGAGGGCACAGTCCGATCAGTGCCTATATTGTGCTCTTTCGGAAACTGTGACACACACGATGTTGGAGTACTAACGTTGGGCAGATGAAAGAAAGAAGTTTGAAAGAGAGAAAAAACTGAGTTCTAAAACGAGCGAGTAGCACCTCGGTGGGGTACAGACTTTCGAAGGGTAAAATAGAAGGCCATGAGTAAGAGAGAGAGAGAGACTAAAGTAGCCTCGATAAAACAGGGTTGAAAGTCGTTGGTGGTTCGGGTGAGTATGGTTTTCTCAATGAATGTGTGGGAGGAAGAATGGGAATCGGGTGATCTCAGGATATCAGGAGAGATGTTATGCCTCATGTCGAGAGTGACATACTAGAGCTTTTTAGTTAAACGCTGACTGCCTCGTAATGGTGACGGTCAAGTAAAAGACTCCAAAGAGTTGTAACACCATTGATAATGAAGTACACAGCTAGTCTAAAGTATTACTGATACCAGGTAATGACTGGTAAATATGAGAATAATTGCAACATTGCAATTACTAAAATTGCACCATAGCCTTAATGAGTCATGTCTTGAAATTGTTTTTAAACGTAATTCACAATAGAATACATAAGAAATTAGATGAAGGCATAAGTAATACACAAATGTGATTTAGGAAAGGACTGGGAAGACGAGATGCACTGTTTGCATTAATTGTTCTTTCGCAGAGATGCTTAGATATTAATCAGGAAGTATATGCCTGTTTCATTGATTTTGAGAAGGCATTTGACAGAGTGAAGCATAATCGACTTAAAGAAATTTTATTAAATAAAAACATAGACAGTAGACACATTAGAATCATCTGTAACCTCTATTGGAATCAAACAGCAGAAGTGAAAGTTGAAAACGAACTGACCAAGGACATCGAGATTCGCCGTGGGGTCCGCCAAGGGTGTATTTTATCACCCTTGTTATACAATTTATACAGTGAAGCCATCTCAGAATTAGCGCTTGCCGAGATCAGTAAGGGGCTTTATAATAAACGGTGAGCCACTTAATAACATAAGATATGCTGACGACACCGTCCTTCTGGCAGGAACACTAGAAGAACTGCAACACCTTGCTGAACAACTAAGTATATATTGCAACGATTATGGACTAAAAATCAATTTGAAGAAAACCAAGTTCATGGTATTTACAAAAGCACAAAACATCAAAGTTAAGCTAGTACTAGATAATACAGAAATTGAACAAATATCTTCGTACAAATACCTTGGAGCATGGATCACAGAAGATATTGATCAGACAAAAGAAATAAGATGCCGCATTGAAATTGCGCGGTCAACTTTTAATAGAATTAGAAAACTTTTTGTAATCGCGATATCAATATATCGCTCCGGATAAGAATGCTTCGACGTTATATTTTCTCTGCCCTTTCGTATGGAGTTGAAGCTTGGACACTTAAAAAATCCAACATTAAAAACCTAGAAGCATTCGAAATATGGTGTTACCGACGTATTTTGAAAATATCATGGATGGATCGCAAAACAAACGAACAAGTTCTCGAACAACTAGGAAAACAATGCGAAGTTTTAAATTCCATAAAAATCAGGAAATTGGAATACTTGGGGCACATCATGAGAGGTGAAAAGTACGAACTACTAAGGAATATAATGCAGGGTAAAATCAAAGGTAGAAGAAGCGTAGGAAGACGTAAAATCTCGTGGCTACGCAATCTCCGTGAATGGTTTGGATGCAGTTCAATTGAACTATTCAGGCGAGTAACCAATAAAATTATAATAGCCAGAATTATTTCCACTCTCCGATAGGAGTGGAACTTGAAGAAGAAGAAGAATTATTGAAAGCAACAAACGATATCAGATGGAATTAAATAGGTTACCATTAAATATGATTAGATTAACTAAGAAGATGAATAATGCCTTACAAGCCTTATTTCTCAATGGCTCACATACTCTCCTACATTTTAGGCGCTGAAATGTTTTACTAATTGCATACGCAAATTTTTTTATAGCAAATTGAATAGCCGACAATTTTACTTCTACCTAATTTTGTCGTAGATATGATACTTTAGAAGATATTTAACATAAAGTGCGAATATTCCACAAGGAATCAAAAACAAATGGCCTTATAGAAAATCTTTGTAAACAATTTTGGAAACCATCTAATTTTGGACAACATCATTGTCTAGGATAAAGAGCACATTATTGTACACAAATTAGTAAATTTTTCAGTTCTCCAATTTTCTTAAATTACCTACTCAAGCGTTTTCCATACCAGATGAAGACTAAACAATTATCAGATATAGTGCATACTATTTCTTCACTATCACCTTTAAACAATTAAAGTTTACCATTTTCTTAATATAGGAACATACTTGTAGTGCAAGAGCTTTCAAATAATGTAATACTTTACATATGATCGCTGCTGTTAAAATTATGTTACAAGGTGCCGTCCGCCATTTTTAACAATTACGTCAATAAAACATCATAAAAATGGTAAGAAGATATCTTAGTAGAATAAGTTAACCGAAAAGTTAGTTAATTGGGGTGTTATGGTTGAGAAAACATTATTTAGGGCAAGAGACTTTAGAAGCACACATAATGTGCAGCTAAAATTATTTGGAAGTGAACATATTTTTTAACATTTCTATATTGTCTGTCACCTTCGATAAAATGTTTTTTATATATATAAATTACATAATGTGTAACATTGTATCAAAGGAAAGTTTAAGTAGCTGGTACCCCTAGTGATACCAATACCACGTACATAGTACATACTCGTATGCGCTTTAATGTAAGTAGACAACTAAATGTAAGTACTTAGCTATCAAGTACTTAAATTTTTGTTACGATGTAGGTACAATATCTATTAAGTTCTATTCAAATATCATTAGTACCGGTAGAAAATAATTAAAATAGGAATAGTACACAATAATCAGGAGTTTTCTGGAAACGAATAAAATTCTCATGTGATGAATACAACGGGTGCGCAGTGATACATTTAGAACTGAATTTATTATAATTATTGCTGATTTCATACGTTTTTCCTAATTACATATTCACGTGATCACGGTTAAAATTTTTGGAACAAGTAACGAGTGGATTACGGTTACAGTGATTGCACTGGCAACGCTGTATGTTAACAGAGCTATTCAAATAACTTGCTGTCTGATTACAGTATAGGTAACATATACATTGTTTTAAATGGAGAACAAAAAAAGTAAAATTGGAAGTGTATGTGTGAAACTAAACATTTTTAAAAACATTCAATTCTAAGTCATCATCATCCAGTCATCCATTAACAGTATTCCCCATAAGATACACACCTTTGCTCGGCTTCTTTAAATTTATTTACTGTTTTACTACACTATCATAACTCTCTTATAAACTGTTATAATATGTAAGATATTCAGACTACTACAGTAATACCGTTAAGAGTGACAGTGAGAGTAGAGATAAAGTAATCTGGAGACCCAGAAGACTGGGATTCTGGACTTGGTTCTGATGAAGACTCCAGAGAGGGAGTCGAAAGCTCACCGACTTTTACGCCATCAACTGGGAATTAAATATTAATTGTATTACTAATAATATTCCCAATCATGAGATTGATTTTATAAGTAATGTAGTAATACTGTACTGTTAGAAGAGAAAAAAAAATAAAAGATTATCTAAAGACATGCTTCAATAAATTTTTGTTTGAAAGACAAATGCCGTAATGATAGGAAAACGCAAATACAATTTTAATATATACGAAAAGAAACAAATCACAGTATACTGGACCATAATCATTTTTTTAATGACGAATTTCGAATTCTCCACCTCCAAAATAAAGGCCTTAAGCTATCTTTATTAGAATTTATGGAATCTAAGAATTATAAAGTGTAAACACATACCAAAAACAGATCACTTAAGAAAGGTACTCTGCCGAAACAGCTGTAATAATGAGAATCTATTGACAAAAAATTTTACAGTCAGACAAGGCTATGGACTGGGACAATAAAGAGAAATATTGATACCATCCTAGGTTTGCGGATGATGTACTTTTTATAGCAACAGCTGTGGAAGAACTAAGGATATTGATATCGACCTAGTAAATCCGTCGCTTGTAAAAGGACTAATATGAATCTAAAGAAAACAAAAATAATGACTAATACAGGAGAC